CGGCCTGACCCCGCCGCCCCTTGTGCCCCGGCCCCGGCCCTCCCCGCTGCCGCCAGCCCGGCCCGGCCCGCCTCTGCGCCTGGGTTTGGGCTCAACCTCTGCCTTACAAACAAGCGCGGTACGGCCGCCCGGCACTGCCCCGCGTCCGAAAGCTTCTGCCTCGGGGCAGGTCCCGCGGAATAAACCTCCAGCGGGGAGATTTCACATACACCATCGCCTCGGAAATAAGAGCTTAAGCAGCCGATCGACTTCTCCCCACCTTTTTGAAACGTAGGCGTCAGGATACATCGATAATATCTATATCTATATATTTTTAAAGTTTCTTCACAGATAGATAAAGGAGCTTTAATATAAAGGTGTGTATACACACACACACACACACACACACATATGTATACATATAGATATTTGAAGGAGAAGCTTTAAAAAGATATATAGTTATCAATGTATCCTGTTGCCTACCTTTCAGAAAGGGGGGAGGGGGAGTTGATCGACTGCATCGGGATACAGTTAATGAGGAAATCATTTATATACCAGATAGATACATACATAGATGTGCAAGCAAGATGTGCATATATATGGGGTGTGTGTGTGTATACATAGACACACACCATATATATATATGAAGGTGAAGCTTTAAATATATATATATCTAGATAAAGTTATATAGAGATCTATATCTACATATCGATACAGATAAATATGTGTATAGGATATAGACGGGTATAGATCTATATCTATCTATTTATCTATCTAGCTATCTGTCTAGCTATCCATCTATCTAGCTATCTGTGAAGGAGAAGGTTTAAAAAGAGGTGAAAGAAAAATTGTGGTGAGCAATTTTGTTTTTCTGCTGATCGGTGGGTGAGCTGCCCTGAGAGGAAAAGAAAGCAGCAGGTCATATGAAAGACTGTCACCGCCCAGCTTGGATCCAGTTGAAAGACCGCACCTCGTTAATTCTTCTCCAAAAGAGAGGGATCCCGTTGTTTTGTCTAGCGGCAGAAATGCAGGCGATAATCGGGTCCTTGTGATACGAGCTGAAATTAACAGGCTGCCTTTCAGGTCATCTGTCAAGGGGAAATGGATGGGGCTTGCTACATCCCAGTAAATCTTGTCTATACATTGTGTAAACATGCAGTGTTCAAACGGAACGATACGTTTCCCCAAACACCTTCAGTATTCAGATAGAGCTTTCTAATCCTATGCGTCTCTCTCCCTTTCCCCCGTTTAGCCTTATTTAACAATAAAAGCCTGGGTTTCTTTTCGGTGAGGCGTGTCTATGCATATATGTACACATATGAGCACCCGCACTTATGGTAAGGTTGGCGATTAGCTTCGAAATGCACACATTTGAGCTCCCAGGTGGTTTCCGTATTCACTTCTACTTCGGATTTTCCACCCCTGAAAATAAAACGAGAAAAGAAACGTGTCTTTTTGGGGAACCCTTCCAGATTTTTGGAAAGCCCTGAAAAGTCTTTTTTTTTTTTTTTTTTAAGAGCAATGAAGCAAAAACAAACAAACGGGGCTGCTTAAAATTAAACCCGTAAGAAAAGCATTTGAAATATTCGTAGATAAGAAGTTGCACTAGGGGGGAAAAAACCAACGACTCCTTCCCGTGGTGAAGCGGGGGGAAATTGCGGCTAACGAAGCAGCGAGCCGTGGCGGTGTTCATGCCCTGAGCGGAGCCCCGCAGGAAACCGAGTTACGGCTCTGCACTCCCACGTGTTTGTTGGATTTGGTTTGCGGGGATTGCACCCGTCTTCCCACACCTTGGAGGCGAGCTCACGCTGCACATCCTTGAGCAAAGGCTACAGTCCACATCGACAATGCAAGGTATCCTTAGTTACTCCTGTGCGCCAGCTCCGGGCCCATGGCTAGGCGCCTTCCCAGGAACGCCTGTCATTGCACGTGGAGTGAAAATGCCCTGGCTTCAACTATGGCGTTACAAGGACGCAGCCTGCCCTGAAAACCCACTTGAAGCGCTTTAAAAAGCTGCACCTCGCTCTTGTCACGCAGGATACGATTCCGTCTGGCAAGAGCTCGTTTTCCAAAGCAGCTTGGTGGGGAATGAAACCCCAGGTCCATTTCTTGTCTCTCTTTTTTTCAGTAGAGTGGAGGGGGATGGCAGCGCTGCGGGGACCAGGAGGGGAAGGGGGACAGCGCTCCTCGCCTAGGTGCTGGGGGCTCTGCGGGGCGGGATGGGGGCAGCGCTGCCCGGAGACAGCCCAGCTCCCGGGTGCAGGCAGGCAGCTCCCCGTGTGCCAGCTGCATGCTCAGCCCCCTTTACCTCCGCACAGAGGGTCCCCCCATCCCACAACCACAGCACACGAGGGGCCTGGGGAAGGCATCCGATCCCACACCCTGCTCACAGCAGGAC